ACCCCGAGAGGCTCTCAGGAGGCCCCGAGAAGCCCCTAACAGGCTTCAAGAGGCCCCAAGAAGCCCCCCAGGGGGCCGAAGAGTATCCAAGAGGCCTCCCACGAAGGCCCCAAGGGGCAAAAATCCATGTCATGCCATCCGTTTTTGATTGATGTTCGAGTTTTCAGCCTCTTGGCGTCCTGACGCTACAAGACGCCCCAAAAGGCCTCCAAGACCAATCCAATATAGCCCAAGAGGCCTCCAACAGTGCCCAAGACAGCCCGAGAGGGCACCACTACGGCCCCAAGGGGGGACCAAGAGGGGTAAGACGAGCCGGAAATCCGAGCCTTCCACCCCGAGAGGCTCTCAGGAAGCCCCAGAGGCCCCCAAATGGGACCCCAAGAGGCCCTCGAGAAGCTCCCCAGAAGGCCGAAGAGGTCCCAAGAAGCATTGGTTTCCCATCGGCTTTTGCTGGATGTTCGAGGTCCCCGCCTTTTAGCATCGCGACGCGCCAGGACGGCCCCAAGTGGCCCCCACGGCCGGCCCCGAGACCGCCCACGAGGGCCCCAGGACGGTGCCCGAGGCGCCCAAGACGGCCCGAGAGGGACCCAGGAGGGCCCCAAGTGAGCCCCAAGAAGGGGAACGCGAACCCAACAGCAGAGCGTTCCGCCCTAGAGAGGCCCAAAGGAGGCCCCAAGAGTCCCCAACTGGTCCGACGAGGCCCTCCAAAGCCCCCCACCAGGCCCCCCAAAAAGCTCACAGGAGACGTACACGGGGCCCCAAGATAGCCGAACAGTGCTCTCGATGCATGAAAATTGCTTCAAGGAGGCCCCAGGAGGCTTCCGGATTGCCCCAATGTGGCCTCAAGCCGGGCCTCCACGCAGCCAAGACAGCCAATTGACTGTTTCAGACTGCAGAACATCACTTTCCGACTGCCCGGAGAATCCTGACGATGCCCCCAAGGGATCCCAAGAAGCCCCAAGATGCCCCCCTGAGAAGCACCCAAGAAGTGCCTCCAACAGCCAATTGAGGAAGCACGGAGAACCCCCCAGAAGCCCTTCAGATGCCCCCACGAAGACCCAAGAGGTTCCCAAGAGGCCCTCAGGAGGCACGACTATGTCACGCGCCTGTGCTTGATAGCGCTGTCCAAGATCTTCTAGCGCGCCCCCAGCCTGGGCTAGAACCTGAGCGCGCGCGAAACGCGCGCGATGGTTCTAACATATATATATATATGGATTCATGATGTCTCTCTCTATACATATATATATATATATATATATCTACCTTTATCTTTATATATATATATGTACATTTATGTATGTATATGTATATATATATATATGCCTAGATCTATATATGTACACATGCGTATGCGTAAATGTGTGTTGATCGATTCATCGACCGCTTAATCCGTGCAGGAGCTGCGGGGGCACGCGTGCAAGCTGCTGGACTCCCCGCACGGCAACCACGTGCTGCAGCTGGCGGTGGAGCTGCTGCCGCCCGAGGCCGTGGACTTCATCTGCAGCGAGGTCCTGGACAGGTCGGCTCGCCCTCCTCTGATGGGCCTGTTTTCCACCACCACCACCATAAGTTGGAGGGGGGAAGGAGGTGGAGGGCGAGTAGGAGGACGAGGAGAAGGAGGAGGAGGAGGAGGAGGAGGAGGAGGAGGAGGATCCCCTCCCTCTCCAACTTATGGTGGTGGTGGCGGTGGAGAACAGGCCCATCACTCCTCGCCCTCGTCGTTCCTGTGATAGCGCTGTGCCGTTCGCCGAAGAAGAAGAAACAACGCCACAAACATAGAAACTTCTGGCGCTCCGCGCTGGCTCCTCGGGTCCGCGCCGTGCCCCCCCCGGGCGGCGCCGCCGGCGCCGCACCTGGCGCGCTCCGCGCGCCAGGGATGGGGCTTCGTCTTACAGGGTGCAGGGTCTCTGGAGTCGGCCACGACTGCCCTGCTCCATCCTCCTGCCTCTCCTCTTCCTTCGTCCTCCTCCTCCCTCCTGCGGAGAAGAGCACACGGTATACACATGAGCTCTTGGAGCTCCGCGCTGACTGCTGGGATCGGCGCTGGAACCCCACTGGCGGCGCCTCCGGCGCCGCCCCTGGCGCGCTCCGCGCACCAGGAAGGCGGGTCCAGCGTAGATCCAGTGCCTGCAATTGGCCAGGATCATCCTTTGTCCGTTCTCCTCCTTCTCCTCTCCCTTCGTCCTCCCTCCTCCCTCCTCCCTCCTTCCTCCTGTCGCAGCTGCGTCGTTGATAATTCTGGTGTTCAGGCCACGGTTCGTAGCAGAAGCTTGCCTTGTGCAGGCCGGCCTGCGGCGTTCCCGGTTTGCCCACCGACCTGTTGATTCGCGATGTGGTTGTTCGGGGGCAGAAAAGAGGGGGGTGATGACTAGGGGGGGTGGATATCATGGCGGGGGCCATGATGTTTCCCCAGATTTCATGGTAACTCTCCTTATTTCATTACGTCCCTGGCCCATCGCTGGGCCGCGCACATGCCGCCGGCCATGATTTGCACCCCCCCCTCTTGGACGCCCCCCTCTTGTCCGCCCCCGAGGTTGTGACTGGCACTCATGGTGTTTTTGCGCAGGGAGCACGAGGTGTTTTTGAACCCGTCCAGGTGGAATCCTGTCGTGCTGGCTCGGCATCCCTACGGGTGCAGGATCCTCGAGCGTTTGATCGAGCACTTTCCGGCGCACGCGCTCGCGGGGGCGGTGGGCGAGATCCTGGGCAAGGTCGAGTCGCTGAGCGACGACCACTATGGAAACTACGTGATTCAGCACCTGCTGGAGCATGGGGGCCAGGGCGAACGGAAGCGGATCGTGGAAGCCATCCAGGGCAACGTCGCCCACTTTGCGTGCAGCACCTTCGCCTGCGGGGTGCTGGACAAGGCTCTCACGTACAGCTCCTGGGGCGACCAGGCGACCGACCAAGAGAAACGTCGGCGTCGCCCCAGCATGCTAATACTATGTGTGCGCCGCCCCCCCCCCCCCCCCGCCCCCGCCAACCCCCCCCCGCTCCCCCCCCCCCCCCACCACCCCCCCCCCCCCCCCCCCCCCCCCCCTCCCCCCCCCCCCCCCCCCCCCCCCCCCCCCCCCCCCCGCCCCAGGGGCGACGCGCGCACCGAGCAGTCTTCTAGTATATGCGTCGCGGCGGGTGCCTTCTGGCCACGCCGTTCGGGAAGCGATGCGCTACAAGATGGGTGTACTGTAGGTTCGGGTCGGACGCGCGCCTCCAAGGAGGACATCCAGTATCTTATGGGGTGGATTTTCTGCCCTCTACACCCACCCGGGACCCAACAGCGACCCACCCGCGACCCACCCGCGACCCGTTTGCGACCCACCCGCGACCCACCCGCGACCTACCCACATGGTTTAACGAAAAAGACGGCGCTTGTGGCGAGCTCGTTACATAATTTGTGAAACCTTCTGGCGCCCGCGGCGGCCGACGTCCTCACCGCCCCTTCACTCTCATCCGCATCTGCGGGGTGCTACGTACGGTGCCGTTTTTAATGCATGCTCCGCGTGCGGATCATGTACTACACATGCAGGGGTGTAGCATTCAAAACAACGATGGGTCCATGCATACATTTATTCATACATGAATCATGTACTGAACATCTTATACGGTTAAGAATCATATGTATTAACAACTGCCCTGTAGGTCTTCTTCTCCTCCTCCTCCTCCTCCTCCTCCTCCTCCCCCTCCTCCTCCTCCTGCTCTGTGCGTCCCAAAGCGGGCCCGGCTGCGCCCACCTCCGTGCGCACGCTGCCCCCCGCGGGGCCTGCGCGCAGCAGACGCCCCCGCCGCGTTCCTGTCAGAGGTGGCGCGCGCCACACCCGGGCCGGCCCGCGCAGGCCACCCCTCGTGTGGGATCGCCACGCCAGCAGTCGCAGCACCCCTGGGAGGAGGAGGAGGAGGAGGAGGAGGAGGAGGAGGAGGCGGAGAGGAGGAGGAGGAGGAGGAGGAGGAGGAGGGAGATGGAGGAGGAGATAGGGAGGAGGAGGCGGAGGAGGATGAGGAGGCGGAGGAGAGAATGGATGAGGATGCGGAGGAGGAGGAGGAGGAGGGAGGCAGGAGGGGAGGAGGAGGAGGGAAGGAGGATGGAGGAAGAGGAGGAGGATGGAGGAGGAGGGGATGGAAGAGAGGGATGGAAAAGGAGGAGGGTGGGGAGGAGGGAGGAGGAGGGATGGAGGAGGAGGAGGAGGGGGAGGGATGAGGGGGAGGAGGATGAGGAGGAGGAGGAGGAGGAGGAGGAGGAGGAGGAGGAATGGAGGAGGAGGGATGGAGGAGAAGGAAGGAGGGAGGAGGAGGAGGGAAGGAGGGATGGAGGAGGAGGAGGAGGAGGAGGAATGAGGGTGGAGGAGAAGGAGGAGAAGGAGCACCCTTCTCATTTCGTCACCCAGGTGGACCAGGCCTCGACCTAACGGTGCTGTGGCGCGTTTGTCGGCCGTTTTCGGTTCGACCTCGCTTGGCAGCAGAGGCGGACTGGACAAAGAACGAGGGACAACGAAAACAACACGTGGACGGGACACACTGTTTAGCTCGGGCCTTGTTTTTTTCGTCGAGCCCTGCCAGGTGGACATTGTCAGGAGGGTCTTGGAGCAGGAGCCCCTCCTGGTGACGCTGGCCACCAGCCCACACGGCTTCGCAAGCACCCAGAGATTATTCCAGGTGGGCGACGCAACAGAAACGGGTCCAGTTGCGCCGACATTCGCGCGTAAGCTGACCGCGTAAGGTTGCGCGTCAGCGCCATCGTCTAAAATGCAGCACACCACAATGGCGGCCCGCGTAAGCCGCCGCGCAGGGCCGCTGCGGCATCTCGCGCAAGGCCCGTGTTTGATCGTCGCCGCTGAGGCCCCGCCTTCCTGTGCCCTGTCTCCCTAATGAAAGCTGTTCGTAGCCCGCCTAGCTTTCGGCGGAAGAGGTGCGCTCTCGCCCCGCAGATCAATCTGGACGCCCGAAATGGGCACGGAAAGAATGGGTACGATGCCCAACAGCGGTACCTGTTCATTTTGAACTGGACTCGCTGTCGGTGTCGCCGCGGCCTGTGTACATTTGAGACAGAAGGTCGCCTGCCCAACAGCGGCCGCTGTTGGTTTGGGACAACATTTGTTGTTGGGCATCGTACCCATTTTTTCGGTACCCATGTCGGGCGTCCAAAATCAAAGAAGTGTTTGATCGTCGCCCAGGTGGCGGCGGCAGCGGACGCTGCCCTACTGGAGCTGGCCTGCCAGCAGCTGCTGGCGCAGCCGTCGCTGGACGCGCTCGCGGCCTGCAAACACGGCCAGTCCCTGCTGAGGGAGGTCCTCCCCGAGGGCTGCCGCGGCCTGGCGGGGGGTCGCGCACAGCCGCCGCCGTGCACCGTGCTCGGGCCCTGCAAGAAGTGCCCCTGGCCCAGGGCGTCCCCTAGCCCTGGCCTCCAGTCCCAGGCAAGCTCTTTGCCCTTGGAGCCTGCTCGTCAGCGGTGCACTGTAAAAAAGGCCCCCGCTCGGCCCGCAGAGCACCCCTCGCGGGCCGGCGGTTCAAAGGTGGGGTCCTGAAGGATGGAGTCCTGAGGGCGGGGTGCCTCGGACCACGCACCTCCGCCCTTGGACCCCCTCGTATCCTGAGGACCCAATCCCTCGGGCCCCATCTTTGAGGCATGGAACGCGGACAGGATGGCTCCAGGGGCTCCAGCATGCAGCGGAGGAGCTGGGGGCCACTCCTGGGCCAGAGGCACCTCGAGCGGCTCCTGACATGCGGGCTCGGCCAAGTCACCCAACTGAGTCAGGGGGTCGATGATGCGTGTCTGCTGATGAGCGCCGGCGGGGCGCGGCGGGGTCTGCATGTGGCGTCGCCATGTGACGAGGTGACCCTAGCCAGGTGATCTGCTGCAGCAGTGGTTGCACTCTCAGGGAGGGTGGGCGTGTACATACCACAGGTCACGAATTGCATGTTTTGAGGTCTGTGGTTGGGTATCTGAGATATCCAGCACAGCTCCTTCCAACCATTCATGGTCGGAACTTCGTGCACGGATATCATGTCCATGAGCGACGAGTATCTCGTGAGGCGCGCTTGCCATATGCCCCCGTGAGTCCTTACAGTACAAGCATGTCGCCTACACGCGGCGTGCTCTGATCCAAGGACTGTCACAGGGCGGCCTGAGCAGTGGTTCGGCACAATTGCTGACTGCGTGTGCGACAGGCCCGAAACATAGGTGCTGGCCCTGGCTGGTACTCAGCATGGTGGAGTTCCCTTCCCCTCAGTGGGGAAGTCGGCAGTCTTCATGATAAGATGCCGCAGGGGGGACCCATCGATGGTTCTTCAAAGACAAACCTCCAAGCATCGTGCCCGTGAGGAAATGAAGTCGCCCCTCGCACGCACAAACAACCTAGCCTTTCAGCTCCGGTTTTCGGCGGGGGGATCTGTCCTCTCCTGTCAATCTTTTCCCTTCCACGGTGGCCCATTGGACGTTGGACTGCCGCCCGCAACGATGAGGTCTCCAGCCCCGTGCGAGCCTTGCTCTCCTCTCCGAAGGGCAGCCTCTGTTGGCAGGCACGCGTTTGCGTTCGCGCCCGCTTTCCCGACATCGGCGCTTCCCTCCCTCGCTTCCTGTCATTGTTTCCAAAGGAGCCGACAGGCCCGCAGGGAACCCCACGGGGTCCTCACTTAGGATTCTCGGCCGAAGTCGGGGGTGTTTTGGCTTCCCGTGGCAAGTGTCCCAATCTGATATCGCATGCTGCCCACCTGCTCCCCTCTTCGTCCCCCCAAGCCATCCGATGATCCCCCTCTCCCGAACTCTCTACCTCATCCGTTGCTCAATATCCGGCCGCCTGCGTCAGTTCCCGCCGCCGTGCCAGCCCATGCTGGGTAGCGACTGTTCGAGGGTCTGAGAGCCATGAATGCTGATGATGATGCTGATGATGATGATGATGATGCTGATGATGATAATGATGCTGTTGACGATGATGATGCTGGTGATGATGATACTGATGTTGTTGATGATGATGAGGTTGATGATGATGATCATTCTGATGATGGTTATGATGCTGATGCTGATGTTGATGCTGAGTATGATCATGATGCTGCTGTTGATTATGTTGATGATGATGATGACGATACTGATGATGATGATGATGATGATGATGCTGATGATGATGATGACGATGATCATGATGATGATGATTATGATGGCGAGCATGATGATCATGATTATAATGGTGTTTCGGTTAATGATGATGGTGATGTTGATTATGTTTATGGTGATCATAATGAGGAGGAGTGTGATGGGATTGATGGTGCTGGTAAGGGTCATGGTAATGGTGGTGGTGGAGATAAGGATGGTGATGAGGATGGTGATGGCGATGACGAGGAATATGATGATGGGGATGGTGATGAGTATACTGATCATGACGGTGACGATGGCGATGATGATGGCGATGCTGGCGCTTATGATGGTGATGATGATGCAAACGATCTTGATGTTGATATTGGCCAGCTGATGACAAAGATTATGATGAGGATGCTGATGGTATGATGATGCTGATACTCCTGATGATGACGTTGTTGATTATGTTGATGCTGATGATGGTGATGATGATGCTGACGATTATGATGATGCGGATGGTGATGATGATGATGATGATGATGATGATGATGATGATGATGATGATGATGATGACGATGATGAGGATGATAGCGTTGATGGTCATGATGGTTGTGATGATGACGGGAATTCGCATTATGGTGATGGCGGGGGTGATTCTGATGATGGTGGTGTTGATGCGTGGAGGAGGAGGAAGGTAACGAATCGGACAAGGCCAAATCTGAGGAGGTCTAGGAGGAGGAGGGGGAGGATGAGGATAAGGAGGAGAAGGCGAAGGAACAGGAGGGAGAGGAAGGAGCAGCAAGAGCAGGAGCAGGAGGCGCAAACGGAGGCAGATCCCATGTGCCATCATGTGCCTTCACTATTGGATAAGCTCGTGTAGAACTCGATTGGGCCTTCTTGGGATTGCCTTGGCCTCCTGTGAGACAGCCTTAGGGGACTCCTGGGCCGTCTTGGGGCCTTCTCATGCTGTCGTGGGGCCTTCTTGGGGCTCTCTTGGGCCGTCTTGGGGCCCACTTGTCCTTATGTATGGTCGGTGTCTGGGGGCCGTCGTGGGGCCGTTCTAGGCCATCGAATTGCCATCTAAGGCCGTCTCGGGTCCCGCGGGGGTCCTCTTGGGCCGTCTTGGGTCCATCTTGGGTACCTCTTCTGCCATCATGGAATCTCTTGTGCAATCTTGGGGCTCGCTTATGGGGCCTCTTGGGCCGTCTTTGGGCCGTCGTGGAGACGTCTTGGGGCGCCTTGAGCTGACGGAAGCCCAGGCAGGTGAGAATGCGGCACTCATCCCCGAACCAGGGGACCCTTTTGTAGGTCCTCCTGTGCTCCTTTTCAGCCCTCTCAGTGGCATCTTGTGCCGTCTTGAGGCCATGTTGGTCAGCCGTGGGGCCATATTGGGCCGTCTCCGAGACATCTTGGGCAATCGTGGTGTCTCTGGTTGCTTGCATGGGCCGTCTTGGATTCTCGGGGCGTGGACCCATCGTCTTTTGTTTTACAAGGGATCGTGGCGAGGAGGAGGAGGAGGAGGAGGAGGAGGAGGAGGAGGAGGATAAGAAGGAGTAGGAGGACGAGGCTGGCGCTCCGTGGAGCGCCACCCAGCGAGACGGGTCATCTTCATTGCTGGCTGATGTGAGTCACTGACCTCCTCCGCCCTGAGAGATATACAACATAGAAGTAGAGGAGGAGGAGGAGGAGGAGGAGGAGGAGGAGGAGGAGGAGGAGGAGGAGGAGGAGGAGGAGGAGATGAGCGGTCGCGGAAGGAGGAGCGAGGAAGGGGAGGAGGAGCGAAGAAGGGGGGAAGAGGGAGCGGGAGCGATGACCCATGCTTTTTTTTTTTTTTTTTTTTTTGGGGGGGGGGTGGGGGCGGTGCACACCGGGAACGCGGGCAACGGGGGGGTGGGGTCCCGTCCGAGAGTGCAGCAACCCCCTACCAGGCAGCCTTTGACATCCTCCCCCGCCTCGGCGCGTGCACGGGGCACGGCGGCGGACAGACGCTCTGCTCGCCCCACCCCCGGCCATGGCAGACAGGTGGCCCCGCCCCCCCCCTCCTCCTCCTCTCCTCCTCCTCCTCCTCCTCCTCCTCCTCCTCTTCCTCCTCCTCCTCCTCTGCTGATGGCTCCACGGTTTTGTGGTCCCAATCGGAACGCCCTCGGTGTTTCAGCATGGTGCTCCCGCTGCCGAGCTGGTGTCCCTTAGGATCGTCGCTTTCCTTCCGTCGTTCAGAGTGGCGCCCTCAGCCAGCGCGGGTCACTGTTCTGGATCCGAGCGCCTCCTCATCGTTGTCGCCGCGCTCCTCTCCCCTCCCCTCCCTCTGGTCGTCCTGCTCCTCCGCTTCGCCTGCTCCTGCTGCCGCTGCTGCTGCTGCTGTTTGCCCTCGTCCTCCTCGTTTCTGGTTCTCCTACCCTTTCCTTCTGCCCATTATCGTTTCTAACTTCTCTCCTAGAATTAGCCTCCTCTCCTCGTCCTCCTCGTTTCTGCCTATTCTCCCGGTCATCCGCTCCTCTTGTGGGCTCCAAGTCCGCTAGGATACCCGTCGGCGGACGCAGTGGGAGGGGCAGGATGTCAGATCTGGCGCGAGCGCGCCTTGCTTGCCCCCTCTCCCCTCTCCCGTCTCCCCCCTCCGCCTCCCGCCCCCTTCCCTCCCCCGCCCCTCCTCTTCCTCTCGTCCTTCCCTCCCCGCCTCTCGATCTCTCTCTCCCCCATTGCGCGCCCCGTGCCCCGCCTGGCCGATCGCTCTGCAATCACTCACTGCAGGTCCTGTCCTCCCCTTCTGTCATTTTCGGTATTGTATCCCGCCGTCCTGGGAGATGTGGCTCCTTTCGCCCCGCGGGAGTTTCCAGAGGGAGTTTCGGTATTTGGTGGCCTTCGGCCTATCCCGCTACCATGCGCGGGCTGTGGACCAGAGGCCTTTTGGATGCATGTTGCGATCTCTCGGCATGCATGTCGGGGGCTTCTTGGAGGCATCTTGGGGGCTACCATGACGACTACTGCTGCTACTGGGGTTCAGCGTGGTCTGTGCTACCGCTTTGGGAGGAGCGGTAGAGGGTAATGGTCTGGGTTCGGGCTCGGCTTCGGATACCGTCGCCGGCAAACAGACAACAGCAAGTAATGTCATTAATAGCGATCTGAGCAGTGATACTTTTGATGGGCCTCGTTTGAGCGGTGACCCGTGCGGACGGACACCCACCGCGTTCCCCCAAAAGGACGCATTAAGGCTTAACTGCAAGCGGGAGGATCCCGCGATGGCACACGCATATACCGATTGCGTTATAGTACGCGTCGGGTCCCAACACTCCTCTCTGAACACAAGGACGGGCATCCACTCTGGTGGAGCAGGGCTGGATCTAGACGCTGTGTTGCTGGACTTCGGCTGTTTTTTTTTTTTTTTTTTGCGTTTTGGCAGGGAGGTGCAGGAAGACAGGTCGAGCAACACGAACAACAAAGCCAAAACAAACCGAA